CTTCAGTGAATATCCAAGAACATTTGTATAAATCAAATTTAAATTTTTTGAAAGTGGCTTAAAAATGTATATATACAATAAAGGAACATATAGTCATAACTCAAGATGTTATTAGAGATAAAATTAATATATTTTGAAATAATACGTTAAAATTTTGAAACAGTTCGGTCAAGATTTGACAATCATCAGTACAGTGCACAGGTGTTACAATTAAATTAAAAAGGGATGCCTTCTATGTATATCATTGTTTCGATGTTGATATCTTCATTGCGAATTAATATTTGATTATTATATAATAATTTCGTCTTGGTACATAATTGTTGAAATATAATCTTAATAGATCGTTGTCTGACAAATACAAGATTTCCTGATTCTATTTCATAATAAGAAAAATTATTTTTAAATAATTATTAATTAAAATTCTATATTATAATAAGAAGAAATATTATTTTACAAATTATTCAAGTGTAATTATTATAGATTAAATTTTATTTTTAGATTTTATAATTATGGGTAACGTACCTGTGTTTTTGAAACAAAGATCCTCACAATTTTTGTATGAAGTCAAATTCTTTGTGTCAGTTAAATAAAGATGTGACGATAAAAGAATTCTTTTGATAGAAACTTAGATATTGAGCAAACTGCGTCGAGTGTCAATCTTATATACTAGTGTGGAACAGAATTGTACCAGGAGAGGGAATAATTCTTAGAGAGTGGAAATACAATATTTGTCAATTATGGGCAAAAAGATGTCTGGACATCGATCACTTTGTTTGTTTAATGCAACTTTGTCTTTTATATGTATCGTATCTGAGACCAATCTTCTAAAATATGACTGCTCAGAATCTAGGATCATCACATTATCTCAGTCTATGTTGTGATTATAATCAAATTGGTGGTGAGATATTATGGACATTGTATTTTCAGGCTTTTTTTAATATCTGATTTGTTCGTTTATCCGAGTATTCAATTTTGTTTTGGTTTGTCCGACATATGAAGACTCGCAATCAAGGCAATTAATTTTGTACACATTTGCAAGATCTTTTTTTTTACCTTATTTTTGCTAGTCTTAATAAAAGAGCTTAAATTATTTATTGGTTTATGAGCAATTCTAAAATTAAATCTTTTTGTTATGGTTTTTAATTTTTCTATGTTTTTTAGATACAAAACAACAAAAAACATTCGATGCGGTTCGATTAAAATGACTCTGTATTATATATATATATTTTATATATATATATATACATATATATATATATAATATTATGGAATAATAATATAGTAATATAATTTAAAAACTATTTTTATAATTTGCAATTAATAATAACATATATGTAATATTTCAACATAATAACAAAATTATAAAGAAACTAGATTTTTTTAAATTCTAAATCATATTTAAAAATAATACGACAAATTTGGAGACGACTTTACTACTATAAACGTTTATGGATCATAAATTATTTTAATAAATAGTAATACTTATTTTTTTAAATCTGTGCTCTAATAAAAATGTATAGAAATGCATTATATATAAAATAAATGATGAAAATCTCAACTTTTTAATATAAGTACATTATGTATTCAAGATTATGTCAAATTATGTTTTGCTATGCATGAACTAGTCCAGTAAATAAACAAAATATTTATTTAAATGATAAGGAGCATACAGCCACAACGCAAGACGTCTTTAGCAAAAGTATATTTAAAAATTTTAATATAATAAAGTAGAGACGTTTTGATCAAGTTTTGACCATCAGTACAATAAGAATATAAAAATGATTGTGATGTAAGGCACTGTCTAAAATAGTTTTTCCCACCAAAAAGTTTTTTAAAATTCTGTACAATTTTATATTAAAAACATCGAATTATATTTGCGAGGATTGATGTCACAAAATATGGAATCTGGAAATTCCGTATTTATCATACATTATAAAAAGATTCAACTAACAAGAAATTTATATTGCAAAAAAGTTCTTTTCATAAGTGAATGTAATTTTATGTCACTGTCATTTTTGAAATAGCGAATAATAACACTTGAACAATTTTGTTAACATCTTCTTTAATTTCTGTAACATTGTTTATATTCTTGTATTATTGATCATCAAGACTTGACTGAAACGTCTACTTTAATTATATTAAAACTTTTTGCATAAGCGAATTAACTAATCAGAATCTTTCTTTTCCTCCAATTCCCTAGAAAAGAAAGGTTTTGATTGGTTGATTCCCTTGTGCATTATGCATTATGTGTTATGCAAGAGTCTGTGCTATGGCCATTATGCTAGAGTCTCATGGTGTATTTATCGCGTAACCGCGTAACCAATTTCTCTCTCTCTCTCTCTCTCTCTCTCTCTCTCTCTCTCTCTCTCTCTCTCTCTGACTGGTTTGTGACATCTTAAGACTATACTTAAAACGGTCTTAAAATAAGAATTGACTATAAGCCGGTTCATAGTCGGTTTTTATTTTAAGACCGTCTTAAGTACAGTCTTAAGTCTAATGCGACTGTTTAATTGGTTCATGACATCTTAAGACTGTACTTAAGACGGTCTTAAATATAAGATTCAACTATAAATACCGGCCTTATGAATATCGATCTATAAATACCGATCTTAGTCGGTTAGTGTTTTTCAGTGTACAGCCGGTCACAGAAAGATTGCAACACTTTGCTTTCGGAATGCAGGCATTTTGCTCACCGAGCGATTGGTTTTTATGGCTCCTGCACACAGAACGCTTACCGCGTGGCGGAAATTGTCGCACTAAAATGTTCTTAAGTCGTCCTCACCATGCAAAACTTCTAGAAATGATGTAATATTACTTCCGTCACGCGGCAAAAGTTGGATCGAGTTTGTTGTACGGTGGAAATTATATATCTATTATTTCCGAGTAAGCGAGACGTTGATTGGCTATCGTGCCAACTTCCGTCGCGCGGCAAGCGTTGCCGTGTTCTATGTGCAGGAGCCATTATTTATGGATTCACAAATAAAGGCTTAAACATAATAGAGCACAGGCAACAGAGAATAATGAGCCATCTAATCAGAGCTTTGTGTGTAAGTTTGATATTATATCCTAGAGTTCTGATTGGACAGCTCGTTATTCCCTGTTGCCTATGCCTATTGCCTGTGTCTATTGTGTTTAAATTTTATGAACCAATCGCTTGGTGAGTAGGCTGCATTCCAAAACTCATCGAAAAAAAAGTGTTGCAATCTTTCTGTGACCGGCTATATATATAAATGAAATAAAGAATTGTGTAGTGGAATTTCGACAATCCGTGTTGACAACACTGACGTCATATTGTCTCCCTCTTTACTTCGAACTTCACAGGCAGGAATCAATAAAACGTATAAGAATAAGAACGTTATTTAACAATAACGGTTGGGTCAAAACAGATCAAAACAATCAGAATGGACAGTGAGGTGAATAGATCTCTCCAAGGATATCGGAATTTACTTATGAATGTTCGTGTTTACACCGAGCACTTGATAGTTTTGATACAGGCACTAATAACTTTCTATTAAATTATCTTAATTTCGACAATTATTTAAAGAATTGTGTAAGGACAATATAAATCTATATAATTAGTGCCAAACGTTTACACGCATCACCGAAATTAAGATAATTTAATAGGATAGTATGCATATTAAATGCTCGGTGTAAACAAGGGCTGTATTCAGCAGAGAAAGCAACTGTTGTAAAGCTGCTTTCTCTACTGAATGCAGCCAAGGTCTATATAGAGAATAATATAATATTATTAGCTTAATTATGAATAATTATTGCAGATATATTATGTGATTAATATAATCAGAACATTTATGTGTAAGATATAATAGTTTACATTTCGTATATACAATATAAACTGTTTCGTATCTGCATAAATTATAAACAATCTATGGATTATTGAAGCTTATGTTTCATTGTTGTTGTTATGTTGATGATTGCACTAAAACTTCTATTTTATATTTTTATTTATCAAATACATTAATTATCATAAAACTTAATTACTTCTTTCATTAGTAATATTGTTTTATCTAATTTATAATAATTTATATATTTTACTAATATATTGGCTGTGTTCCAAAATTCATTAATGGAATCATATAGTGCACTTAACATAAACTGAAGATTTTCAGTGCTGACAGTAAATTTGGAATGTAGTTATGTTTATTTACATGTAAAAGAGTTGATAGAGGGTTGAAAAAAATTTAACATAAACCATACGTAAATATTTTTTGTATAGATATAATCTCTTAAGATATGCAGTGCTCCTATAATATCAGTTTTATTATGAATAGTTATTAATTATAACTTCATTATTTATAGTTATTAAAGATTATAAAATTTATAAGACATATTAATTAGTAATTAATTAAAAACAGGCAGCATCATTATCATTGTGCAACGATTCAGTTTTTATTACAACTGATGTTGCAAAATGCCAAGAAGGAAACACATCAGCTGAGGAAGACTCTTTGCGTCAAGATTTGCAAAGAGCCTCCTTGGAAATAATGGAGGAAAATTTTGCATGTGTAAAGGAGATGACGACTTTATTAGCTAAATTGGATCTTAAGCTCAATACATTATCTAACGACATAAAAGAAGGTTTAGAACAACTATCTTCGATCCTGGAAGCTGAAAAGCTGTCCGAATTTGATGAAACATCATTGCGGGTGATTAGAGAACGAAAGATCATAGAAAAAATAAGGCGGGAGCGAGAAGAGAAGCAGATGTCTGTACAGCATGATAAATTCTTTAGAAATTTTACAAAGTTGAAGACAAAAATTAAGCATATGCATGATGAGATCGATGCTCTCATGAACTCTATGGATGTTATAGAAAAGGATAAGAATGATGTGTATTGCAATAAGATTTTCTTGTCTACAAAATTAAACGAATATGAGCAAACCCTGAAGAAATTGGAATCAGAATTAAAAGATATGGGGGTTGACGAATCTTTTTCGGAAAAAATATGGGATAAGTATATATTGTACCTGGAGAAGACAAGCAGATTAGTAGAGCTAAATCAATCCCTCACTCAATATGAGGATTTACCACCAAACTTGCTGCAAGCTAAATTGCTGGTAGAAAGCAAAAGAAAAGAGTATGAAAAGTTAGAACAGATATTTTTAGAAAAGTCTCATAAATAAAATTTGTAAAAAAAAGTAGAAAAATCTAGAATAAATATTTGTGGAAAATACATTGTCAGTAGTAAATTCGAGTTTTAATGACATTTCCAATTCAACTGAATAAACTGTAATATACTTTATTTTATTTACTTAGTGTTTATAATATTCTTTGTACATATGTCATTAATTTAACTTATAAATAAAAGATCACTTATATGTGTATATATTTAAAAAAAACTTATACAAATCTGCTTTTAGAAACCATATTTCGATTTTGTTTGTTTCCGTGCCATTCTATTCTGAGACCATTGATTTTTTAGTTCTAGTTCCATGGCTTTAGCTTGATGTGCTAAATAAGTTATTTGATGTTTCTTTTTGGATTGGGAATTTACCCCACCGCTCTGCATAGACACCGGCCTATGTACAGATTCTTCTGTTAATGCCTTTACCAACCATTCTCTTTCATCTGGTTTTATGTCTTCCCCATTTATTTCGATTATATCCGCTTCGTCGATCTCCTTGCGTTTTATACCCCGTCTTCCACAAAGGTATTCAATTGCTTTTTCATCAAAGGCAACATTGCCTTCCAAATCAACATTATATTCTTGTTCAGGGACAGGCAATTTTGGACCAACCTCTGCTTTATTCTTCAATAAAATTTCTTCTTTCGGTAGATTTATAACATTACTTGTTAACGTTTTACTCGATTGGCCATTCATCGAAATATCAGAATTAATAGAGGAAGAGCTGGGTATCTTATGATCTTCCACATGTTTCATAAGTAAGACTTCAGTATTTGATTTATGTACAAGATCATCCGAAGGCAATGTTGAATCTAATTCTGTTGAATTATTGCCTGTGGAATTGCCTGGCAGATCTTCATTTATGGTCAGGCCAAAGAAGTCTATCGTTGCATCTTCTTCATCAGAGCTTGATTCATTTTGTGATTTATCTGGAGTTGGTTTTTTCACTTTAAAATCATTTCGATTTGTACTAGATTTCCTCATTGTGTTTGACTGCCATACATTTGTTTTTACCGCTGCGTTCTTAACAGCCTGAGGTATTAAAGTCTTATTGTTTGTTGTCTCTCTTTTTGGCGCTGTCAAGAGGGAGAAGAGTCCGCAGCCCTTCTACAATGATCAATAATTCATGAGTTATATCTATGTATTTACATTTTAAAAAATTTTCTAAACTTACTTGTGACGATTGTATGATTCTGGCTGGTTTCTCCTCACTCTCCTCTTCAAGATCCTTAAACTGATGGAAATAATACAAACGTTCAATAAAATTAAGTACCTAAATATATGTATATATACAGGATGATGATCCAAAATTCCCACATTCAAAGTACAAGACATGATACTTTATGCTATACTAAAATAAACAACTTTTTCCTTTAACAAAATTGTACTCGATAAATAATTTTTGCACCAATTTGTTAATTTCAATTTGTTAACTGTTCTCCTGCAAAAACTATTTATCGAACACAATTTTGCTAAAGGAAAAAGTTGTTTTTTGTGCTAAAATAAATAACTTTTCTGTAGTAAAACATTTACATTCGATAAATCATTTTTGAGTTTACTCGTAGAACTTCAACCTGCTTTCCTGTAAAAACTACTTGTCAAATAAACAATTTTGCTAAAAAAAAAAGTTGTTTGTTTTAGCATAAAGTATTATGTCCTGTACTTCAAATGCGGGAATTTCGGATTACCCTGCGCACACACACACATACACACACACACACATACCTCCAATAAGGAAGGTACAGATATTCTCACTATCTGCTTTTTTGCTGGTTTCGAGATTTGACTTTCCGTTTCTTTTTTTAATAGAATATCATCTTCGACCTCCTCAATATTTCCCATAAAAATGGAATCTCTGGGCTTTGGTAAGGTATCGAGAAATTGTTGTAAGTTATGCTCCGCATCGTTCTCTTCTTCAACGTTTGTACTATGTGAAACTACTTTCGGAGCAGGTAAGGATAATTTCGAACTTATTTGTACGGTTACTGCTTCAGTCGCATCGTTATCCGTATCATTCACAGTATTTGATTCTGCAGCCTCGTTCTCTTCATTTTCCGAGCTCTCGTCACTGCTGTCGTACGCTACAAGGCTCATTTTCGATCAGAAATATGTTTCACACTCGTACTTGTGTACATTCGAACATAACATAACCATTATTGACATGAATATATCCAGAAGCCAGAAGCACGACCGCTCACAGAGCGCTCAGTAAGCTCTTATATCTGTTTGGTCTATATTTTTAGATCTAATGGAATATACCAATCAGATGCAAGAGCTCACTGACCACTCAGTGAGCGATCGTGCTTCTAGGATTGTGGTCAAGGTCTCGTTAAAAATGCTTTGAAGTATTTGATGGACCAATTAGAAGACAGAATTTTACAAACTGATCAATTAAAAAACGCTTCAAAGCGTTCGCAGCATCGCGTATCCTAAATGCACCTATTTCATTAAGAATCAAGATCCATGATGGAATTGATGGAAATATACTTCTTAGAGTCTAGGGGTGTGTTCCGTTTTACGCATGATGCGCATGATTTATCATTTTATCTTTCTTTAATATTCGATGAACAAGAAGGATAAAACGATATATCATACGCACGATGCGTGAAACGGAACGCACTTTAGAGGTCAACGCGATGTTACAACACTTTGAAGAGGTTTTTAATTGGTTTGTAAAATTCTTTCTGTTTCAAAGCGAGATTTTTGTAGTGAAATTTTGACTATAACCCTAGATTTATCAGACAGGCGCGACTGGTGTTAAGTGTTCTGATTGGTCACAATCACGTGACTATTAATTTTTTATACATTCTTATTAAATGCATATTAATTAAATCAATTAAATAAACTATGAAGAACATCAGAAGCATATAAATTTTCAGTCAATATGAAGTTTTTTAACTCTTTGAGGGACAATGGGATGTATGCATCCTACCTTCTTGTTTTAATTAGTTTTTTCTATACTTCTGATCTATTTTGCAGTTTGTATGTGCATATGAGTATTTTTTAGACTCTTAGGGATCTAAGTTATGCAACTTTCATTAAAAAAATTTGTTAATTTATTTATTTACAATTTTGTTATAAATAATTAATGTAAAAAAACTTGTTTTTTTCCATTAGCAGAATAAATTCAGCTATTCTTAACCCTTTGCAGCATGATGGCATTGTGGGATGCTTTTCCATAACCATTTTCTGAGTAACTGGGATAGTTTTCACTCAATTTTTGAACTTTTTTTTGTGGTTTTGTATCAGTTATACATTCAAAAATAAGAATCGGTGTGCAATAATTCAAAATCATGGGTGATTATATTTATACAAATAAACAAACATTGAAAAATTGCAATTTTTCTGGAGAAAATTTATTATCTCCGAAAGTTCTCGGAGTTTCTATGCCAAAATCCCCACTCAAAGATTTTTAGGATCGCTGATTACGAATCTGATCTCAAATTTTCGAAATTTAAAATGGCGGATCGATTTGCAAAAAGTGATTTGATCTTGATGGAACTAGTACTCGTAAGTTTTAAGTCGCTGGTTGCAATTCTGAAGTTTGCAATTTTGCTTTTCCGATTCCAGAGTTGTAATCAGCGATTTCAAAAACTGATGAGTACCTACTTTCATTTAGATCAAATCACTTTTCGTAACTTGATTCGCTATATTGGATCTGCCATATTGAGTTTCAAAAATCTGAGGTTCGTAATCAGCGATCTCGAAAACCCCCGAATACCTGGTTTCATTCTGATCAAGTCATTTTTCGCAAATCGGTACGCCATTTTGGATTCACCATTTTGAATTTAAAAAATCTGATTTTTTGCTTGGTAATTTTTTCGAAAAAAAAATGTTTGAAATTTTGGAAAATTGATCTTTTATAAAATTAATTTTAAGATTTCAAAATTAATTAAATTTTAAGATATACGATATCAAGGTATTAAGATATAAGATATAAGATTTCAAGATATAAGATCAATTTTATTTATAAGATCATTTTTAAAATTTTTTAAAAATTGACCTTTTAATTTTGTAATTCTGACATCAGAATCACAATCAGCGACTCCGAAAACCCATAGATAACTACTATAATTTCAATTTCTTTAAAAGAAAAATGTGCCTCTCAAAGGGTTAATGTGCCCACGCACATAAAGAATGATGAACAGGGATCAATTTCCCGCACGCGCGCTTTGTGACCTTTTTACAATTCTCTACAAATTAGTAAAAAAAGAGCCAAAAATCACCGATTTAACTTCAAATACACACTGAGAATAATAGAATAATACTTCATTTTTATAATTTAAACGCGGTGCATCGTGGTGTATTGACATCTTGAACTGGATTAAAACACGGTAGATAACACATATAAAATCGCTTGCAGATACATATTTTTACGCTTTTTATGCTATTTTCATGATAGATATACATAACAAAATGAAGAAATTGTGGATGTATAATTTAAATCTGCAATTGTGTTACTAAAATTTATAAAAATTTGTAGGATACAATTATTTGTCGTACTCAAACGCACTTTTTAAACTTTAAAGACTTACTAATAAAAAACTAATCAATAAATTGACTTAAAATTTTTACAAACAATATTTTAACTTATATAATTGATACTAATACTACTGTGGGCAAAAAGTATCGATAATTTCAAATTTAAATTTCCCGGGGTTTCCGATAGGGACAACCGAATTTATTTTGAAGTTGGCAATTCTGTCAGTGACAGAATGCGCCAAGGTACACGTCAAAATAGTCATTAGTGTTTGAGATAAGCGTCTGTTTGTAAGCACGTAAAAAGTGATTTGTCGTTTTTTGAAATGTCTGAAATTATGGAACAACGAAGTGCGATA